CGCACTCTTTCTTCGCCTCGCTGGTTTCCTGTGCGCCTTCTTGCCCGGTCTTCATCGGATTCAGCTTGGTGTCTTGAGCTGCATTTCCAGGCGACGTCCTTGACCGTCCGGCAACTGGGCTTGCAGTGGCTGAGCTCGTCAAGATCACATCATCCGCCCTCAAGAGACGCCGTTCACACTGTCGCAAAGCACGGTCAATGGCCTCTGGATCTGTGGGCTTCTCGGGGTCCGTGAGGCTCCTGAGCAAGTAGCTCTTTTCATTCTTTCCTCCTGGAAGACACATAGACTACACACAGTAAGCAGGCGGTAAAGGATGCCAACACTGCTCTTGTGATTTGCCTCGCAACCATTTCGGCTCGAGTCTGAGGCGTCAGGGCAGCAAGCAACGTTCCAGCCACACGAGCATTTTGACCCTTGCAAATCGTCCTTCAAGCGACGAGTCCTTTGGTTCTGGAAAAGCCAGGGGCCACTCTTGGCCCAAACCGTGCCGTGTAGAGTGTAGTGGTTCTTGGCCATTCGGTCTACCACTCTCAGGCCCGATTTGAATGCAACCTCCGCATGGATTGAAGATCCATCAGGCAGAGCCCTACGGCGAAGTCCGACCCCGCCAGCGCGGCGGCAGCCACGGACCTGCGCCGCCAGCAGTGTCTTGCAGTCTGCAGTGTCTGCAGGCTACATCCGACTACTGTCAGCGCCACACCGATGATTCCTCGCAAACACCCCTGAGCGGTCCATCGATGAGCTCCAACCATTCCTGGGTAGCTGCCGAGGTTTGTCCAGCCGGAGCTGAACTCAGGCAAGCTTCTACTTCCAGGCTTGCAGCTTGCACGTCTCAGGTCCCTGCTTCTCACTCTTTTCCGTGAAGTGTAGCTGAGCCTGCTGCAGTTGTTGCACGCCTGTTGTCAACTATCTAGAACTACCAAGACGAAATTTCACCACGTAGCACGCTAGCCGCTGCTGACCTGGTCTTTCTTTCTTTTGCGCCGCAAGGGCTCCTCTTTCTGTGAAGAAGCCTCCGCGCTTCTGCAAGAAAGAAAGAACCTCCTCCGCAGTACTTGCTGCAAACTGGGACCCCCTCCCGCTTACACTATTCGGAAACAGCTCTCACTTGCTTCTTCTGGAAAGGGAGGGACTTCTTTGTTCTGATAAAGTGGGGAGTCTTCGCAAGCCTTACGCGAGGATTCTCTCGCTTCCTATGAATGCTTACGAAGAGGTGGCTAGCAATACGTGCCCTGGCCTCGTACACTTGTGATTAAATGGCAACAGTTCCGATTCTTCAAAAGCGCTTTTATATTCTTAACACTTTCAGCAGAATTTCTACACTTTTCACGCGCAGGGTATGTCAATGCCATGCGTTTTGCTGGGAGACGAAGCGGTTCGCCGAAGCTTCGAACGAAAACCCCTTCCTGCCAACAAGAGCAAAAGCATCGAAAGTCTAGACAGAAAGTCTCCACACGATTCTCAACTAAAGGGAACCTACCTCCAGAGATGACGAAGAAGTCTTCGTGGAAAACGGAGAAGGGGTCTTGTTAAGATAGGAACCTCGTGCTATTTACACTACTGATGATATCTCTGAAGGACATACGCATGTGCAAGTCGCAGCCCAGCTTTCCTCGGCTCTTTCCCCTTTTAGCCTTCCACGCAGAGCTCGTCAACCTTCACCAGGCCACATCTTCTCAACAGGCCTGGGGCCTTAGCCTGCATTTCGCCGCTCCGGGCCCCAGCGGTAGCGGAGTTCGAAGAACAAGCATTCTTGATGTCGGCGGTGCTCAACTCGAACCCCTTTTGTGCAGCGTAGGCCTCCAAGAAGGCTAAGGCTTGATTGTAAACACCAACTTTTGCTGGCCCCAATGTTGTGTTCTCCTCCTGCTCAAAGTCCGTCACTTCCTTTCCCTGAAGTCTTCAAAAGAGCCAACCTCGGCCGTGATTGCGGGAAGCCACTTTGTCAAGTTCTTCCCCACCTCCTTGGGATCAACGGTACGAGCAACAATCGGGGAGTCCGCGTAAGAAGCTTCACTTGTAGAAGATCGGCAAGGCAACGCGAAAGGTCGCATGTGAGCGTAACTGTGAGATTCGGCGGTTTAGAGGGTTTCTGTAGATTGTCGGCCACAGCTCAGAGGTGATGACTTGTCTGGTGTTTTGCTGATGCCCGCTGTCAGACGTAAATATGCAAAAAAAGATATCATATATAGAGAGACGTTTCAAGCTCGGGTTGGTGATATTTAGAGAGTGCACAGATCTGCGGGATGCCAGGACACCTCTTTTAACACACAGCTCTTGTTGTGTGCAGTTCTCCCTGGAACATAGCTTCGCAGAGAGGTTGTTGATGATTCATGTAAGTGTATACATGCCTTCGGTTGGGATCAGGTTGTGTTGAATCGCGACTCTTTGCGAGCCTTGTCATATGCTTCGTGGCTTTTGGCCACATCTTGATCTTGGCTGCGTGAGCCGGCTGGGGCCGGAACACCTTGCCATACACTCATTCACTCAGAAGACAAAGAATAGATTGCTCGAGTTTCATGTTGCTGTGACTATGACTCCAACTTGGCAGGCAGTGTCTTTGAGCCTTTGAGCCCTGGTTGTTTACGCGGTGAATTCAGGCGCAAGCATGTCAGGGAGTATGAGTAGCGCTGACACCGGTCAGCTGATGAGGCCTGGTCTCAAACGGGATGCGGATCAAAAAAAAAATATTTAGGATCAAGAAAAAATTTTTTAGGATCAAGAAAAATTTATTTAGGATCAAGAAATAATTTATTCTGTTCTTCCGACGGAGAGAGGGAAGGGGAGGGAGGGAGGGAGGGAGAAGGCAGGAAGGAAGGAAGGAAGCAAGGAAGCAAGGAAGCAAGGAAGGAAGGAAGGAAAGGAAAGGAAATGAAAGGTCAGGAAAGGAAACATAACATAACATCATATGTTATAATATATATATATGTATATATATATATGTGTGTGTATATATTAAAACAAAGTATAACAAAATATTATAGTGGCATAGAGTAGAATAGAACACAATATCGTATAGTACCTTAAACATATAACAAAATCGAAATAACAAAGCATATATGTATATATGCTGCTTTTTGATATCGAATTCATAATACACAATGCATATTTCTTGTTTGTTTGGCGCCGGGCAAGCTTCTTCAACGCGTATGAATCCCTTCCAAACCCATGATGCGAGCATTGTGTTTGCAAATGGGGGGGGGTCTGCCCCCCCCTTCAAACCCCCCGCTGTTTTTTAAAGCCGGGCAAGCTTGCTTCAAAGCATATGAATATCCTTTCCAAACCAATGATGCGAACGTTGTGTTTGCAAATGGGGGGGGGCTGCGCCCCCCCCAACCCCCCCGCTGCTTTCTTAGTCCGGGCAAGCTTGCTTCAAAGCACATGAATCCTTCCAATCCCATGATGCGAGCACTTTTTTTGCAGTAAAACATGAAGACACAATAAGATACAGTGGTATACAAGAATATATTACAAAACGATGCAACAATATACAATACAATAATACACAAAAACACAACAATGTACAAGTATGTACAAGAATTTGCAGCAGTATACACGTAAAAAAGAATAACTTAGAATAATTTTCAGTAATTGACAATAATATTCAATAATAGACAACAGTATGCAATAATATACAAAAGTATACAAAAATATACAATAAGATACAGCCATATATAAAACATTTTTCAAAAATATACAAAAAATGTACAGCAATATAGAAAACACAAAAACACAATGACATACAACAATATAAAACAGTGTACAAAATTACAATGATATACAATAGTAGACAATATTATACAATAATATACAATAATATACTATAATATAGAATAATCTGCAATAACATACAAAGAAAATTGAATAATATACAACAATATACAGTAACCTACAAAAAAAGAGAACAATATACAAGAATTTGAAAAATATTCAATAACATTCAATAATATGCAATATTGTACAAAAAAACACAAGAAAATACAAGGCAATACAAGAATACTCAACAATATAGACAACAATGTACAATAATATGCAAGAATATACAATGTCATACAATAGTATACAAGAATTTCCACAACACTATGCCAGAATATACATGCTTCAGAGTATACGCATTTTTTTGAAACTTCTAATGCCAAGATGCCCACATTGATTTGCAGCCTCTGCAAACTCAGAAATGCTGCTATTTACAGTATTTCCAGCCTCTGAAATCGCAGAAATGCTGCTATTTTTAGTATTTGCAGCCTCTGGAAACTCAGAAATGCTGCAGTGTGCAGTATTTCCAGCCTCTGAAAGCGCAGAACTGCTGCAATATACAATATCTGCAGCCTCTCTGGAAACTCAGAAATGCTGCTATTTTCAGTAGTTCCCGCATAAATGCTGTGTTTTTTCGGTATTTAGAGCTTGCGAAGCGGCAGAACTGCTGCATTTCTGAGCGTTTACGGCCTCCGCTCCGCTTGCAAGAAGCCTTCGAAGCCTTCAGTAAATTATTTTTTGATCCCAAATAAGTTTTTTTTTGATCCGCCTAGAAATAAATTATTTTTTGATCCCAAATAAATTTTTTTGATCCCCTACCCGTCTCAAACGGGCACATGTCAGCAGTGATTGCTTGGAAGATGACGGTGACAATGGCTGTCACCAGGATTCCGCCAGCTTTGCCCCGGCTGGCCCGTCAGGCAGTGCTGACAGCTCCTTTCCAGATGGACCGCAAAGCTTCGAGGAGACGTTCGGCTGGGGTGATTTTGTTGTAGGCCAGCTCCAGAGCAAGTTCCGATCGCTGGAGGCGCCGTGCAAGTCCAACAGAATGCACATCATGTTCACATCGTTCTACTCCGGAATGGGGATGTCGGAGATCGCTGCGTGCGTTGTGCAAAGCAGCATGGCCAAACTCGGATACTGTGTTGATTTGGAGACGCATGCGCAGTGTGACAGTGACAGCACCTGCTTATCCCTTGGACGGTCAAATCACTTGTTCCGGGATTTGACTGGGCGCGTGAGTGATGATCTGTGGGCTTTGCTGTGAGGAGAAGCATGCTCAGGAACTGCAGGCAAGGTTGAAAGGACAACCCAAGGCGGCCAGTCGAAGTATCGTCACAGACGCTGGCAATCGCTTCTTGCAGGAGGCTTGCTTGTTGCTACAGAGCAATCTTGACAAGTTTAACTTGACTGCAGAATGCTCCGAGTGCGGTGCTCAGTGCGCGTGGGCACCGCCGCAAAAGGCTGGAAGCCTGGAGGCAGGCGGAAACACCTGTACTCCCTGGAGTTGCAGGGGCAAGCTCGCTGGCTGGCTAGATCCTCAGTCGCTTCCAGCTTTGGTATGGGTGTTCTCTCTGAAGGCCGCTTCTGAGACTGGAAAGGGTCCGGATGTGGTGCTGAACGAGTGCGTGCCTCTTTTTCCAGCTGAGGAGTTCTTTCGAGCTGTTTGGCCTCAGGCGTAGATCTTGAGCATGGTGTTCAGCCCAATTGACCTGGGGTTGCCAGTGAACCGGTCAAGACGTTACACTCTGGTTTTCCCAAGTCCTGCCTCCCCACTTTACGGCAAGGTTCTGTTCAACAAAGACTTCTTCCAGCCCTTAGTGTTCCGGCGCTTATTGCTAAAAGGATCCGTGTACCTGAAAGCCCCGCAGAACTTGGTGGATGGCTTGGTGGACCAGATGGCGGAGGCTAAAGGCCTCCCGCCGAGACCGCCTGGGCACCACTATGGCTTCCAAGCGGCCATGCCCACCGGGGAGAGAATGCGTATGCTGACGCATTTGGAAAAGGTGCAGGAGACAATGCTGTGTGACTTGGATGTGAACGCTGAAATTGCCCAGAATCCCGGATACTCCAAGTCTATGAGCATCGTGCCCACGCTGGTGCGTAACTCCGTGATCTACAATTTTCAGGCCGATCGCGAGTTCTTGGTTTTGGAGCTGCTCGCTTCTCAGGGCCTGCCGTACTTCTTGCCAGATGAGCACCCGTTCACACGAGAGATGCCCGGAGAGTTCTTGAATGAGCTCGCGAAGATCCCCGATAGAAAGCTCAAGTGCATTTGTGGCAACGCCATGAACATGGCTCAGGTAGGATCCGTGATTGCAATGATATTTATGTTTGCCACTCGGCAAGAGCTCTAGGCTCTTGGTGGAACGCGCTGAGCTGAGCCCAGTCCCTGCGTGCCAAATAATGCGTTTCATAGCCGATGCCATCCCAAACGCCCTGCAACCTAACTAACTTGGCATCCCCACGTGTGTTGGGGGGAACATTCCAAACCCGCGGAGCTGCGCCTCTCCAGCGTCCACACGCACTGTCACACAGACAAACGAGCAAGCGCGTGTGCGTACAAACACACAACACACATGTGTCGTGCACGTGCACACACACGAACAAAAAACACACGGACACAGACAAAGACGCGTGCGCGCGCCCACACACACACACATGGGGACACACAAACGCACGCAAGCACGCACGCACGCACGCACACACACACACACACACACACACACACACACACACACACACAGAGAGAGAGAGAGAGACACACGTGCGTGCACACACACACACACACATACACCCACGCATGCACATTCTGTGTGCGTGAGGCCCTATGCCCAACACCCCACAACCCCAAACAAGTATTGCGCTCTCAAAGGAGCTGTGCGAGAACACCAGGCACGTGACGCAACCAAGCCCTTGAGCAGTGTGCTTTCGTGACCTTTAAAGTTTATTTTTATTTCATTTTTGGTTTCTTTCGTGACGACTGCGTTTCATTTTCGCAGCTCAACTCTGTGCGAAAGAGCTTGTGTTTGTCATTTCTGTCGGTTCACGGGCCAATATATGCGTTGTGGTGCGTTTGATGCTCTGTTTGGGGTTGGGCTGCTGTTGCCGCTGCCTGTCATGACAGGCCTGGACAACCACAAGCCAGCGTGTTACTCCAAAAAGCAGTGATGGCTCCACAGTTGTGCGGTTTGTAAGGAAGGCAGGGTAGCGGAGCTGACAGGGAGATATCCTGATGACCGGTGCCATCAAGGCTTAAAACACCACTCGACAACGGACCCCATGAATCCTAATAGTTCACGTGTCGGCCAGATACGGCTGAGCCGCCACCCTGTATGGGGTTTGCTTCCTGAACCGTCGGCTAGAACCCTATATAACATTGCCAGCGCTAATGCGTGTGAAGACGTCAGCATCTGAAGGTTCTTCTGAATGGAAACCTTGTTTCATTCCTTACGAAGGGACGGACTCTCTTGGTTCTCAACAATGGATGAACTAGGGGACCACCTTGCGTCTTTTTGCCAAGTAAGCGGCGCTTAATTACTGGGTTCATCTCCTACTCACTGAAAGTCAGGTGTGTGTGAAAAATTGGAGAGGTCTTTCTTTTTTTGCGCTCCTCTTTCTGTGAAGAAGCCTCCGCGCTTCTGCAAGAAAGAAAGAACCTCCTCCGCAATACTTGCTGCAAACTGGGACCCCCTCCCGCTTACACTATTCGGAAACAGCTCTCACTTGCTTCTTCTGGAAAGGGAGGGAATTCTTTGTTCTGATAAAGTGGGGAGTCTTCGCAAGCCTTACGCGAGGATTCTCTCGCTTCCGATGCATGCTTACGAAGAGGTGGCTAGCAATGCGTGCCCTGGTCTCGTACACTCGTGAAGAAATGGCAACAGTCTCGATTCTTCAAAAGCGCTTTTATATTCTTAACGCTTTCGACAGACTTTCTACACTGTTCACGTGCAGGGTATGTCAATGCCATGCGTTTTGCTGGGAGACGAAGCGGTTCGCCGAAGCTTCGAACGAAAACCCCTTCCTGCCAACAAGAGCAAAAGCATCGAAAGTCTAGACAGAAAGTCTCTACACGATTCTCAACTAAAGGGAACCTACCCCCAGAGATGACGAAGAAGTCTTTATTGAAAATGGAGAAGGTAAGGAACCTCATGCTAGATTAGTCACCAGTCCTAAAGTTACACGACTAATGCGTCAATTTTGGGTATAGCAGGACTTATAAAGGTTATAACCACCTCAGACAAGTAAGTTAAGATAAGTTAGAAAAGTTAGCGAAAAAATAGAAAAGTTAGCTTTTCTGAGGAAGGGGAAGACAAGAAACAAAGAAACGCATTTTAGAGCTGCACTAGTGAAGTTGGTGTCCCTTTGGTTTGTCCCGAACTCTTTTTCCTTTTATATTTCTGCAATTTACTAAAGCCTGTTTTGTATCCGTAGGTTCAATTTACTTAAAGCTCCATAGACCCTAAGCCTAAACCCTAAACCCGAAACACTGAACCCTAAACCCTAAATCCTCAACCCTAAACCCTTAGCCCTAAGCCCTAAACCCTAAACCCGAAATTTGGTGGCCCCCAAACCCAAAACAGCTGCAAGTTAAATTCAACTTGTTTAACTTGCAGCTGTGTTTGGTTTCGGTGCCGCCAAAAAAAGGTGGGGGACAGTGCCTGCGGGTGGGAATCAACGTTATAAAGCCCCTATTTGAGACGATTTAGAAGTTGAAGGACGACCCCATACGACATCTACTGCCTACTGCAAGCTTAATGCATGGTAAATTACCCTAAACCCTAGACCCTAAACCCTAAAACCCTCAATCAAGCCCGACTACTCGAAAACCCAAACCGCGAAAAAATCAGAGAAAAAAACGGAATTTTCTGAGTTTTTCGTGGTCCTAGTACTAAATACAAGAGGACAAAATTCATAACATTCGGAATTTTTTTGAATTTTCTGAATTCTGAATGGGTTGATTTTCTTATGAGAAATATATGTATCTTAAGATGGTCTAAAATTTCGGCCTTAACCTTATATTATTGCAGCGTAGAGAGGGCGCAATGAGGCCTGAAACCCTCAAACCCTAAACCCTAAACTTTGGCTCGTAGGGTTGAGGGGGTTGAGGGATGGAGGGTTGGGGGTTGAGGCTTCTCTGGGTGTTCGGGGTTGATGGGGTTAGTAGGGTTCTCCTCTTGATGGGGTTGTGGGTTGAGGGTTAGGGTTCAGGGTTGAGTTTGGGCTGTGAGCCTCAGGCCAGTCAACCCTAAACCCTAAATCGTAAACCCGGAATTCATAACCGTAAACCCTATGCCCTCAACTTTCCATCAACCCTCAGCCCCCAACCCTAAATCCTAAACCCCAGCCCTAAATCCCAAACCCAAAAACCCCAGAAACCACTATTCCTCAAACGAACGAAGTAAAACGAATCGCCAAAGCTTGGGCGAACGATGCCAAACGAAAGAAACGAAGCTTCTATGCCATATCTGACAGACATACTGCGATCGATGCGAAACGAAAGAAACGAGGCTTCTATGCCATATCTGACAGACATATTGGGATCGATACCAAACGAAAGAAACGAAGCTTCTATGCTATATCCTCAAACATATGAAAACAGAAAACACCAAAATGTTAGGAACATGTTAGGAAAAGTTAGATACGTTAGGAAAAACCTTACAAAAAATTAACATAACTTAGCAACTTATGTAACATTTCTTAACCTCTTCCCAACTTCCACAGACTTAGGTCACTCTTAGGTAGCTTAGGCAGGACTTAGACCCTACTTGTACATAGGTTAGTAAGTCCTATACGTCCTGCTAACCCAAAAACAGACGTATTAGTAGTGATGATATCACCCAGGGACGTACGCATGTGGCCGTAATCAGGGGGAACGCGCGCGCGTCACATTATACGTACTCTACCATGGCACGGGGGGGGGGGGGGGGAGCCCTAAATCATCTTTGGTTGACTTGGAATATGTTTTCAAGTTCTAGGCCTCATCCCGCACCCGATTATAACCCGTGGCATATGGCGGGGGGTTTTGGGGTTTAGGGTATAGGGTCAAACCCTAGACCCTATAACCCTAAACCCTCAATCCCAAACCCTGTGAGTTTAGGACAACGTCTACTTTAGGTGTGTGGGAAGCAGCTCCATCACTGGTTGCATACAAATGTCTACAGGGCAGCATACAGCGCAGCATAGCATCCCTTCTTGGCTTCAGACTTTCATGGCCGCATGAAAAAAAAAGGCACCGTCCTGCAACCCTATGCTTTAAGTTCGGGTTTAGGGTTTAGTATTTAGGGCTTAGGGCCCGAAACTTTTTCCGAAACCTGAAACCTGGCTGCAGCGAGGAGTGTGCTCGCCTGGAACAGCAGCTCAAGGACGCGTTGTCATGTGGGGCTTGGGGTGTCGATGCTTTTCGGGTCTAGGCTGCGCTCGGAGCGATGTGGGGGTTTATGAAAATGATGAGGGACCCCGAATGTAGTCCCCCAAATAGTAGGATTCCCTTCTAAAGCAGGGGATCCCAAGAAGGCACCCGAATTTCGGAAACCCCCCATGGTGGCCTTTTGTTGGGATGCCGACTGTCCCAGGGACCTCAGCAGCCTAGTGCGTAACGTGGGGATATTGGGGGGTGTACTATGTTAAGGGGCCTTATCTTTAAAGGCGATCCTACTACTTGGGGATCTATATTATTGCGTAAACCCCCCTGTCAGGAAAGGGACACAACGATCCGAGAGCAGTTGGAAGAAATCGACCACTTGCAGCCGCCGACTTGGCGGAGGGGCTTAGGGGGTTTAGGGTTTTATAGGTTGGGATGTTTCCCCCTTATTCCTGAAGGTTCTTTCTGGGCACTGTAGCTCCTTTGGCGCCTCAGTGCCGTCAGGAAATGTTTGGGGTTAGGGCGTATAGGGGCGGGCGTAGTGGGGTTTAGGGTTAGGGGCTACCATGAAATCGTAGGGTTCGGGGTTCGGGCGCTTTTTTTGGTGGAGCGCAGATAGTCTGCACCCGGACTAATCTGAGTGCCCCAGGTTCCAAAACGGGCGCATGTCGAAGCAGCTCGGCACGTTGACTGCCCAGGCCGAACCGGTTTAGGGTTTAGGGTTTAGGGTTTAGGGTTTAGGGTTTAGGGTTTAGGGTTGAGAAAATAGGGTTGTGCATGGCTGTACCTGGAGCGAGGGTGGGGGGGGGGGGGGGGGTACCTCCAACAATTAGGATTCTACTTTGTTGAGCTTATAAGGGGCATCCCTATTCTGGTGAAACTACCTGTTGTTCGTATGAAGTGGCCAGGTGGAGGAATCGAGAAAGACGCACACGCAGAGCACTTGGCGCGGGCTTCAGCTGCAGTACAGGGCGCGCAGGATTTAGGGGAAGA